TTAGGCAATTCCCAATAAACCAGCAGATGGAAGACCTTTCTTTGTCTCTCTCTACCTCTCTCTGTAACTCTTTCAAATAAATAAAATAAATCTTAAAGGCAAGAACTGTGAGCTAAACCAAAATAGCCAGATTTACCAGTTTAACTGGTATGTGAGTAGGAGCCTCAGGTGCTGTAAGTTCAATGAAAAAATCTGAATGGGAAGACCTCAGCAAGATCTTGGATTGCATAGGATATCAAAGTGGTGTAGAAAAGCTGTAGATGTTGGTCAGGGTCTTTTGGAAGCTACCCTCAGTCTTTCCTGTGAAAATAAATCATGCTCTGATTCAGTTCTTGGTCCAGAGAGGGGATGAAGACTCCTGGGTGAGACCCTTCAGACCTCATGACAGCATTCAGGGGTGGGTCCCAAGGAGACACCACGTGCCTCTCTGCTGTTTCTGTGAATGGTCTTAAACCAGACAGAGGGGCTGCAGTATGCTAGCAAAGACTTCCAAAGCCTTGCGAAATATTTTGAAAGAACCCTAGAATGAAGAAATGAAGGGGGGGGGGTAAAAAGCAAGCCGTCAATGGAAGTGTTCACTTTCCCATTAACCCTTAGTCCCACAGACATGTCCCAGAAATAAAGGGCAATCTGATAAACTGTTGATAGATATGAGCACAATAATATCAATCCTTTATAATTCTTTGGCTGATTTTTTTTAAAAATTTACTTATTTATTTAAGAGGCAGAGTTACAGAGACAGAAAGAGAGAGAGAGTGAGAGAGGTCTTCCAATTGCTGCTTCACTCCCAAAATAGCTGCCACAGCCAGAGCTGGGCTGATCTGAAACCAGGAGCCAAGAACAACTTCTGGGTCTCTCACGTGGGTGCAGGTACCCAAGCATTTGGGCCATCTTCCACTGCTTTTCCAGGCCATTAGCAGGGAGCTGGATTGGAAGAGGAGCAGCCGGGACATGAACTGGCACCCCAGGGTGCCAGTGCTGCAGGCAGACTTAACCGGACCAGTCACCACTACTTCCCTTACTGTCAACAAACACAAACAACTTGGGTTACACTTTTATTTAATAATCCTCAATAATGTTCCCCATGCCCTGGGGGAATATAGTCAATATTTCCTTTTTTTAAAAGATTTTTTATATTCTATTTTATTTTTTAAAGATTTTTTTATTTATTTGAAAGAACGAGTTAGAGAGGTAGAGACAGAGAGGTTGTTTTGTTTTGTTTTGTTTTGTTTTGTTTTGTTTTGACAGGCAGAGTGGACAGTGAGAGAGAGAGAGAGAGAAAGGTCTTCCTTTGCCATTGGTTCACCCTCCAATGGCCACCGCGGCAGGCACACCGCGCTGATCTGAAGGCAGGAGCCAGGTGCTTCTCCTGGTCTCCCATGGGGTGCAGGGCCCAAGCACTTGGGCCATCCTCCACTGCACTCCCTGGCCACAGCAGAGAGCTGGCCTGGAAGACGGGCAACCGGGACAGAATCCAGTGCCCCGACCGAGACTAGAACCCGGTGTGCCGGCGCTGCAAGGCAGAGAATTAGCCTGTTGGCCACGGTGCCAGCAGAGAGAGAGGTCTTCATCCTCTGGTTCACTCCCCAGATGGCCACAACAGCTGTAGCTGAGCCGATCCGAAGTCAGGAGCTTCTTCCAGGTCTCCCACGTGGGTGCATGGGCCCAAAGACTTGGGCCATTTTCTACTGCTATCCCAGGCCATAGCAGAGAGCTAGATCAGAAGAGGAGCAGCTGGGACCAGAACCAGCACCCATATGGGATTCTGGTGCTTCAGGCCACGGCTTTAACCAGCTGTGCCACAGCACCAGCCCCTATATTCTATTTTAATATATTTCAAAGGCAGAGTGAGGGGGAGAGAGAGAGACAGAGAGAATGAGTGAATACCCGGGTCTCCCACGTTGGTGGTAGGAACCCAAGTACTTGGGCCTTCTTCCACTGCCTTCCCAGCCACATAAACAGGGAGCTAGATCAGAAATGGAGCAGCCAGGACTCACATGAGATGCCCCAGCCAACACTTCTATTTTCTCCAGGGAAAGGCAACCATTTGCCTGGGCTGCTATGCCTCAGTGTTCCCAGAGCTGCCCTCCTGCTTGTCACCTGGAGGGCCCTCAAGTACCCTGCGATTCTGTTCTCCCACAGCAGGTGGACAGACTTTTCTTATGTTCAGGTGAGATAGCGCTAAGACTGATTCATCCGTCTGCTGTTCTTTCAGAGATCCATGCAGAAGTTAACAGGTTGTCAACTTACCCTCAGAGGTAAATTGCTTCCTCCAAACATCCACATGTGCAGAGCACTGGAGGCCAAGACAGAAGAGGCAATTATGGAGATTCCTGGGTTTTACTGGCCACTTCAGGCAGTGTGGCCTGACTTTGTGCAGATTCCATGCTTATCTGACTTTCATCTGGACAGCGAGTGAACAACAGGGTTGATAAAGAAGGAAACCAACCCTCCTCTTTGTTTTCCTCCAGGCTTTTGCCAATCCTACCTGCAGGTTGCAGAACGTTCTGGCTCTAACTGCAGAGGGAATCATTGCTGGCTTCTTTAGGTCACCAACACAGGAGTGGTTGGGGAGGGGAGTGGACATAGGGGGAGTAGGGGGAGCGTGTCCTCAGCTGCCAAACCTTTCTGCTGGGGACCCAAACGTGAAAAGGTTTTTGTGAGTTTAAATTAGCAACTCAACACCATGTCTTTCTGGGCCTACTTAAACCCTTCTCTTCGTGAAATGCATCAACTGCAGAGGTTTCTACAAGGCCTTTCTCATGCTCCAGGAAGCAGCCCAGTCTGCTGACATGGGCTTAGGGTCTCCTTTATGCTATGCATTCTTTGCTGTTCACTAAAAATACACCTTTCTCAGCAGCAGAGCTGCCTCCAGGGACTTCCTGGCTCCCTCTTCCATGCTGTGGCGAGCCAGGAGCTCGGCCCGCTGGTCACCACATTGTGTCGGCAGTGTTTTTGGAGAGCAGTCACGTGGTAGCAGGCTTTGCTCACTAAGCTCTCATCAGAGAGATTTCAGATAATTCAAAAACGACAGCCACACTCTATTTGCCTTTTACTTCAGCAAACATCACGGATACAGTCACAGCCGCCCTTGTTCGTGCCCTATAGTCTTACTCTCTTGATCATGTTGGTCTCTGGAGGGCTGGGGTCTTGTCCCTGCAGTCAAAGAGCTGTGCAGGCGACAGGCCTATTTTCCACAGTGTTGAGGAAGAGCTTGGCTTACACTTGAAGCAAAGACTGGGTTCCTTCCCACATTCCCCATTCCACCCCCAGGCCCCGCTTCTGCCCTCCTCCCGCATGTTGGTGACCCACAGCAGCAAGAAGCGAGTCTCTACAGCTAGTTCCAGTATTCTGCAAAAGCTTAGAGAGGGGCGGCTTCCTCATTCCCGCCTGCCACCTGCCTTTATCAACCCTGCTGTCCACTCCCTGCCCAGGAATGCCAGGCCTGGGGCAAATCACCTCTCCCCAAGGGAGATCCGGTTCTGGTGACCATCAAGGGCAGCCAGAGGGTAACAAAAGCCAGCTTGAGGATCTGACAGGGTAGACGAGGGGGAGTTTAGGGGCTGGCAGGGTAAATTATCTCCCAATTCCAACTACCAGAGCTGTCCCACATTTCCTTGCTTTGCCTCCTGCCCGCCAGCGCTCAGTGAGCACCCACAGTTAGGAAAGCCGGCCCCTGGGCCAGTGCTGTGGCATACTGGGCTAAGCCGCCACCTGCCGTGCGGGCATCCCATACGGGCAATGGTTGAAGTCCTGGCTGCTCCACTTCCAATCCAGATCCCTGCCGATGGCCTGGGAAAGCAGCAGAAGAGGGCCCAAGTGCTTGGGCCCCTGCACCCACCTGGGAGATGACGAAGCAGCTACTTGCCTCCTGACTTCCTTGCAGCCATTTGGGGGATGAATCCGCGAATGGAAGATCTCTTTCTCTAATTCTGACTTTCAAATAAATTAATTAATTAAAGAGGGGGACCTATCCCCGCACCCCCTGAACGGAACAAGCTGCATTAGAACCTGGAGGGGAGGGGACGGTTAGACGGGGGGGGGGGGGGGGGGGTAGGGGAGGAGGCTGTCTTTCACGGATAACCCTAGGTGGCCCCAGAGCCAAGGGCCCCGTGGGACCAAGTACCAGGCGCCTGGAACTGTGTGACAGTAAGTTTCCTGACACGGATGGCCTCCAGGCTCATTGCCTAGGCAGCGTGTGGGGCGGTGGGAAGACCTCCGCAGGGTCTGTAGACACTTCCTAACTCCTGGGGACTCCACACCGAAGAGCTTGCACATACAGCATTCACTTAAATACAGGGGCATGTGTGTCCGTGTGTTTGGTCTGAGGTCGCAATCGGGGGTAGGGCCCCAGTCAACGCCCCCTCCTCTCATCATTCGACCTTGAGGGCACCACCCGGAGCGGCTCCAGGCAGCTCTGATCACGGCCCTGGCCACCACGGTGAGGAATGAGCACACCCCAAACCGGAGAAAGCACCTTTAAGAACTCCAGGGCACCAGGGATTCCGCAGAGGCGGGCCAGGCGGTTACCGTACCGGGCGAGCTGGAAAGGCGGGCTCGGCTGTTAAACCGGAAAATGAGACCCTCTCAAAGCCGGGCCGTCCGGAGCGTGGGAGGACGCGGCACCGGCCGGCTTCCTCCTCGGCACCCCGCTCGGGCGCGCCAGGCCCGAGCGAGCGCCGCGTCGGCTGCCCCCAGGGAGGCTCGCTCCCGGGCTGGGCGCCCACGGCCGGCCTCTCGCCGGATTTGTGACGTGCGGCGGGCAGCAGCGGTGACGGGGCCACCACACAAAGCCAGCGCGGCGGGGCGGGGGTCTCCCAGGCCGAGAACCCCGATGGGATGGGCAGGGCGAGGGGAACGAGGCGCCCCCGGGCGCCCGGTCTCGGCGCAGCATTAGAGTGAGCTCCGAGTCGGCGGCGGCGGCAGGGGGCGCGCGCCGGGGCGGTCGCGAGCGCCTGGCGCGCGCCTGGCTGCTGTGGCCGCGCTGGCCGCCCGCGCGCCCGGCTCGCCGGAGCCGAGCCACGCCCCTGAGGGGGTGGAGCAGCGGCCAGGGGCGGGTCCGCAGCTGGCGGCGCCCTGGCCTGGGGCGGGGGCTGTGGCAGCAGCTGCAGCAGCGGCGGCGGCAGCAGCGCCAGGAGGTGCTGCAGCAGAGGCGGAGGCTGCTCCTGGAAGCGTCTGCGCCGCGCAGCCGGAGCCACAGCCCGGAGGCGTCGGGAGGTGCGCTGGGTGCTGCTGTCGCTGCTGCTGCCGCTGTTGCCGCCGCCGGCCCGCCGCCGCCCGGGCCCCCGCTGCCACCGGGGCCCCGGCTGCCGCCTGCGCCCCCGTCGACCCCGCCCGCGTGTGCGCCCCAGCCGGGACGCCGCCCCCGGCCGGGTCTCCACTTCTCTGGGGCGCCTCCTATGACAGCGCCCGCTCGAAGATGGCTGCGAAGGGCGCGTACAGCTCCCACCTGAAGGTGGAGGGCGAGCTCGAGCGCTGCCGCGCCGAGGGCCACTGGGACCGCATGCTCGAACTGGTCCGGCAGCTGCAGGCGCAGGGCGTGCCCGGCGGCGGAGGCCGGCGATCCAGCCCCAGCTCCAGGCTCGTCTCTCTAGACACCGGTGAGTGAGCGAAGGGGTTGGTTTGAGCTGCGAGCGCGCGAACCGCGCCGCCTCCTCCAGGAAGCGTGCCTCCAGCGTCCCCGGCGGCGACGGCCGTCTGCCCTCCTGCACTGCTCGTCTTGGGAGCGGCCGGGGCCGTCGGGAAGGTCCTTCGGCCTCGGGAGAATCCCGTGCAGGTGGAGTGTTTGAGGGGAAGAGCGATGAGGGCTGATGCCCTCTAGGATCCTGGGGTAACCAACGCCTTCTCCCTCCAAAGTGTGGTCTCTGCGCGTTATCAAACGAGCTCATGCATGGACCCTTGCCTCCCCCACGAACCCCGGGCCCGGGACGGGGCCCCAGAACTCCTAGTGCTAAGGCTACGCCTGTCTCTCCTTGCCCCCACCCCCAACCGCTGCCCACAGTAAAGTTGAAAACGGAACTTGGTCCGCAGCAGGCGAGGGCGGGGTTTGCCCAGCGCCAGGGTGGGGTTGGTGGAGAAGCGGGAGAGGCCGGCAGCCCTCGGTTGGCTCTTCCGTGGCAGAACCAGGTCCCATCCAGCGCTGGCAGTCGGTGGCTTCAGCGGCAGGGCTGGTTTGGTCGGGCCGGGCTCTTGAGCACCCTGCCCAGTCCCAGACCTCAGATCCTGTTCCTGGTGCCTTCTGCCGAGCCGGGAGAGCCCTCCTGCGCCTCTGAGTACCCAGCGCCCCTCGGGAGCCCGCGGGGAGGGAAGTGGGCGCACACACGGAGGGGAAGGGTACTGAGGGCCGCCGGCCGCAGCAGGCCCTGTGGGGAGAGGAGGCACGCAATAGCCACCCCTGTGTACTACTGGGTGCTTTAATCCACAGCAGCCCCTGAGGCCGGGAGTCTGGTTTGTCCCACTTCACAGACAAGGAAACAGGCACAGAGGAGTTGAACTCGATCGCTGGCCCGTGCCTTGTGGCGCGAGAGTTAGAACCCAGACGTCTGAGCGCTTTAGTTCCTCTGCACTGCTATCTGTCAAAGCTGCTGAGCGCAGACTGCCTGCTCTCAGAGAGCTCCCGCCGTGAGCTGGGAGGAGCGGGGCGCCCAGGAAGGGGAGAGGGTTTCCAGGAAGTGGCCGAGCTGGTTCTGGCCCCTGGGAAGTGACGCTGGGGAAGGGCCCGGCGTGTTTGCCCTAGGAGGAGGACAGGAAGGACACTGAGGAGCTGAGTGCGGATGGACAGGCTCACCGAGGCTGGGGTCTGAGCGGGCAGTGGGCAGTGCCGAAGGTGTTTGGGAAAACAGGGTGGGCCCCCTGTTCCAGGCCAGATTCCCGCCGTCCTTGTCCTCTGGGGTAGGCTGGTGAGACTGGGAGTGAGAACTGACCTATGCAGAAGACATCGGAGCGGGCTGGCTCCACGGAGGAACGTGCTGGGCCCAAGACAGGAGCTGCGGCCTCCTTGCTTCCCTATGGCCTTTGCTGTTTTTGTTTTTGTTTTTGTTTTTCTGAGCTGTTCTTTGGAGCTTTCAGGGAGGCTTAGCAGTTAGTTAATTGGTTTCTCTGGAAGAAAAAATTTAGGGGCCCAAGAAGTGAAGAAATTGGAAATGATGCATTCAAGGATGTTCAACCGATTTTCTGTAAACAGCTGCAGGACTTCTCAGGGCCTTTCCTGGGCTCACCGGCGCGTGATGTGCAAGCCCAGGGCAGAGTGCGGGCCCTACGCTTCCTGAACTCACCTCCACCATATTCTGTGGCACCCATAGAAGAGGAAACAGCAGTGTAGACAGCCATCGGTCGTGAGTGGCATGGTCTAGTGACGAAGTACCGTCTCTATTTTTGAATTATTACAAACAACCCTGTGGGAAAGTCAGGAGTTACTACCCCATTTTAGACATAAGGGCGGCAGTGTTCAGAGATAGTTCATGTGTGGTCAACCCCAGACTCAAGCCTCAGTCCCTGCCGCCGTGTCTGCTAGTGGCCAAGCAGAGGGCCTGGAGTCTGGGCTGGATTCGCTGTGGGGAGGAGTTTGAGGGGCAGGGGGGGGTCTCTCCTGCCAACTTCTGGGTTTGGTTCTGTGAGTGACTCTTTTCTCCCACTGTTAAATCCAGAGATGCTATCCTAAAACACGTGTGCACACACATACTGGTACATGCGTGCATCTGCAGACACACGTGTGCACACACACATACGAGGAAGGAAAACAGGTGGCTCCCACGTGCTGAGCTTTTTTGGTTGATTGCTCCTTTGGTTCTTTTCTCTCTGGGGCCCCTTGATTGCTCAACGGGTTCAGAGCTGGTTTGTTTTGGGGGAACTGGAGCTGACACCCCCACAGCTGGGGAGTGAGTCCCACGTGGCCTGTGAGACTCTTGTGGTCAGCAGCCTAAAGCCTCAGCAGTTAGGTATGTGGGAGGGGGCTGAACCCCATTTTCCTGAGACTAGTGGCCCTGCTATGTCTCAGGTCTCTGCAGAAACAGAAAGTAGCTATTCCACTCCAGGGGCCAGGGGGACGGAGCTGTGGGGGTCCTCTCTCTGGTGTAAAGGAAAGATGAGGGAGGCTGAAGCAGGAAACCCCTCCCCGCCCCCCAGCCTTTTCCTGTGTGAGGAGGCGGCTCCCTGCCACCCACCAGGGGAAGGTAGCACTTCTGGTTGTACATTTTTTTCTAACTCAAATCCAGTTAGATCTGGGCAGAATGGAGCAGGGGACTCCCGAGTACGGCTGGCTGTGGGGCTTGTTCATTTAGAAACAGCCCTTGGGGCTGGCACTGTGGTATAGTAGAAAAAGCTGCCACCTGTGGTGCTGGCATCCCATATGGACACCAGTTCAAGACCCGCTGCTCCACTTCCAATCCAGCTCTCTGCTATGGCCTGGTAGAAGATGGCCCAAGAACTTGGGCCCCTGCACCTGCATGGGAGACCCAGAAGAAGCTTCTGGCTCCTGGCTTTGGATCAGTTCAGCTCTGGCCATTGTGGCCATTTGAGGAGGGAACCACTGGCTGGAAGACCTCCCTCTGCCTCTGCCTCTCTGTAACTCTGCCTTTCAAATAAATAATAAATAAATCTTAAAAAAAAAAAAAAAAGAGTCCATCCAAGCAGGTAAGAGAAACAAGAAAACTTTTTGTTAAAAAAAATTATTTAATTTGAAAGGCAGAGTGATAGAGAGAGATGGAGAGACACAGAAAGAGAGAAAGAGGTCTTCCACCCACTGGTTCACTCCCCAGATGCCTGCAATGGCTGGGGTCAGGCCGAAGCCAGGAGCCTGGAACTGCATCCCGGCACTCCATCCTGGTCTCCCATGTGGATGGCCAGTTACTTGGGCCACCTTCCCCTGTGGGAGCTGGATCAGAAGTTGTCCAGCAAGTACTTGAACCAGTACTCCGATACGAGTTGCAGGTGATATGAGATGCAGGCTAGCAGTGGCTTAACCCACTGTGCATAACACCAGCCCCAGAAAGCAAGCTTTACTATGAAAAATTTCTAAAACATAAAAAAAGAGAGAGAAGAATGAATGCCGTTTATGCACAACCAGCTTTGCTCCTTGGGAGCCACATCCCAGCACCTCTCTCCTGTATGATTTAGTCAATAGGGCTGTTTTAAAAACCATGACTGCACTTTACAAAGCTCCAGCAGTGAAATTTTAGTTAGTTTCTTAGAAACAGGATCCAACACAGCCACACGTTGCGTTGCGTTTGGATTTTAGGTTGGGTCTCCCAGCCTCCCACCCTCTGTGCTGTCTTTTGAACATTTCAAACTACAGCAAAGATCAAAGACTAGCAGTGAGCACCTGTATTCCTTAACCTCTTACTACACTTGCTTTAACACATGCCCGTCCCTCCTCCTGTACATTTTCAGTTATTTTAAACGTTATTTATTTATTTTCATTTTATTTGAAAGGCAGAAAGAGAGAGCAAGTACTTCTATCCACTGGCTCGCTTCCCAGATACCCACAACGGCCAGGGCTGTCCAGGCTGAAGCTGAAACCGAGTACCTGGAGCTTGGTCCAGGTCTCCCACGTGGGTGCAGGAGCCATCATCTGCTGCCTGGCAAGGTGCATACCAGCAGGAAGCTGGGTTAGAAGCAGGGGAACCAGGACTCAGACAGGGCACTCTGTCATGGGATGTGGGTGTCCCATGTGTCACCCCAGCCACCCTTCCTGTCCAGCTGGAGTCTCTTCAGCTGTAGTCACCTCCTTTTTTGTTTTTTGTTTTTTGTTGTTTTTTTTTTTTTTCCTGTTAATTGGTTGCTGTTTGTTCAAAGTGGCGATTGGTTTGAATGTTGGCGTTGGAAGGAGTGTATTTGTGGCAGATGACCTCACACGAGTGCTTCTCACAGTGGTTGGGGGTCCCTGGCTCTGCAGGCGGTGAGGTGTACAGCTGCGGTGGCCATGTTGGAGCAGGTGGGGAAGGGTGTGGCTGGCTGGCCTCCCGGTCCCTGTCTGCCAATGGGCAGGTTGTAGAGAGGGGAGCGCTGGGCAGGGGGCCCGTGGTTACTGAAGTGGTTCCTGGCAGGGGGCACCCTGAGGGAGGCCAAGAGGCCCGGGAACTGAGAGGACCTTCACTACAAGAAGGTGGTGGGAGACTGGGTAGCCACTCAGAGGGGTCACCTTTGGGCCTCCATGGAAGGCAGGGACTAGAGGGGGGGCGCAGACTCAGCACCCAGGCTCCCAGTCAGTTGGGAAGGTCCCCCTACTGCCCTGGGCAGAGAGAAGTGAGCACTTGACCCAAACTGGTGGAGGGAACTGGCTTCTGACTACAGAATGTTGAAAAGCAACTTGTTTCGCTTTTTGAAAGAAAGATAAGTCTTTATGCACTTGGATTTTTTTTCTTCTAAGATTTATTTTATTTATTTGAAAGTCACAGTGACAGAGAAAGAGAGACAGAGAGAGAAACATCTTCCATGTCCTGGCTCACTCCCCACATGGCTGCAATGGCTGAGGCTGGGCCAGGCCAAAGTCAGAAGCCTGGAACTCCCATCTGGGTCTCCCACGGGGTGGCAAGAGCTAAGGTACTTGGGCCATCTTCCACTGCTTTTCCAGGCACTTTAACAGAGAGCTGGGCCAGAGGCAGAGTAGCCGGGACTCCATTATAGGGTGTCAGCGTTGTAGGTGGCGGCTTAACCTGCTGGGCCACAAAGCTGGCCCTGGATTCTTTTTTTTTTTTTTAATTTATTTATTTATTTGAAATATTTATAAAGAGAGAGAGGAGAGGCACAGAGAGAGAGAGAGGTCTTCCATCCACTGGTTCACTCCCCACTTGGCCACAATGTTCGGAGCTGGGCTGATCCGAAGCCAGGAGCCAGGAGGTTCTTCTGGGTCTCCCACATGGGTACAGGGGTCCAAGCACTTGGGCCATCTTCCATTGCCTTCCCAGGCCATAGCAGAGAGCTGGATCGGAAGTGGAGCATATTCCCATATGGGAATGTCGGCACTGCAGGCTGTGGCTTTACACACTAAGCCACAGTACTGGCCTGGCCCTGGATTCTTATTGAACAACTGAAAATAAGGAACTCTTCACTTCAAAATAGCCTTCAGTTCCACAGACTGGCAAGTTGTGAATACTGGGATGGGAAGAAGAGGGGGAAGGGAGAGAGAGAGGTGGGGTAGGGAGCTTGGGGGTTGAGCAAAGGAAGCAGGGTTCTGCCACTGTGCACTAAGCAGAAAACAGGTGGAGTGGGACTTGCAGGAGGGCGAGAGGCCTGGAGAATACCTAGGTGTTGGAAAACAATCTCACAGTATACAGCACTGAGAAAAATGCTTTGAAGACTTAGTTATTTGTATTTGAGAGACACAGAGAGAGATCACATTTGCTGGTTCAAGGGTTGAGGCTTGGCTTTGCCAGGCTGAAGCTGGGAGCTAGGATTCAGTCTCCCACGTGGGGTGGGGGCAGAGAGGCAGCTACTTGATTCGTCACTGCTGCCTCCCAGGGTCTGCATTTAGCAGGAGGCTGGGATTGAGGGCAGAGGGGCAGAGCCAAGACTGAAACCCAAGCCTGGGATTTGGGATGCAGGCATTCCAACCCCAATGTGAACTACTAGGCCAAATGCCCACCCTGAGCACAATTCTTATCCCAGCCCTTGGATGGACCAATAGCTTTCAGCCCACTTTACCGCTTCTAACTTGCTCCTTGTCTTTGGGCTTCCAGAAGCTGTGCTCTGAGGGCGGTACAGAGGATACTTTTTGATGGTATATTGTTGTTGTTATTGGCTGACCCTAGCTACACTGCATATCTTTATTATTATCTAGAAAGAGGGGATAAGAGTGACCCTTTGGGGCTGTGCAAGATTAAATGGCTCTGTAGGATACAGCGCTGGGCACTTAGTAAGCCTTCAGCAAACGCTGCCTTCATAGTCAAACTCACTCAGCATCGGTTTTGTTTTGTTTCAATTTCCGATCTGCTGTGCTCTGATATTTTCATAAAATACAGTAAAAACAGTGTATTAGAACATTTTTCATGTGATTCAACAGATTCAGAATTGCTCTGTGGGGGCAGGTGTTTGGGGCAATGATTAGCCACAGCTGGAGATGACCACGTCCCACTCTCAGAGTGCCTGGGTTCAAGTCCCAGCTCGGCTGGGATCCAGCTTCCTGCTAACGGGCACCTTGGGAGGCGGCAGGTTCTGGCTCAGGTATGTGGACCCCCGCCACCCACTTGGGAGAGCTGATGGAGTTCCCGGCTTCTGGCTTTGGCAGGGCGCAGCCCTGGCTGTTGCTGACATTGGGGGAGTGAACCCAGCAGATGGAAGATCTCTTTCTGTCTCTCTACCTTTCAAATAAATGAAAACAATTTTTTTTTAATTAAAAAAGTTACTCTGTCACTTTTCTGTACTAAGTTTCTCCGTGCATGTATGTCCTGGGGATTGGCTCGCAAGTGTTGAGGCTGGCACCAGCCCACAGCCACACTGGACGGCGCGGGTTCAGACATCCCATGATCTTGAGACAGGAGCATGCTCTGGGAAGGAAGCGGGTGTCCCTGGGCTTGAAGGGTGCCCAACCAAGGAGCTGCTGGAGCTCTGGGCTGGACAGGTGGGCAGTGTGGCACAGCGCAGAGGGACGGGGCGGGGCCCCAGCTCGGGGCGGGGCCAACTTCCTGAGGCGCGTGCTGCTGTCCTTAGGAGCAGCCCCCAACCCGGATGCGGGTTTTCCAGATCTGAGCCGGCCGCTGGAAGCACCCACCGCACCCCACCCCACCCCCCGCAGCAGAGGGCCAGTGAGGAAGCTCGCCTTTCATTCCTGCCTTGACGAACACTGTACTTTTGACTGGGGATGGGGGCGGCCCTCTGGTGCTCCGCCTTCAAAGGGCCTGTCACAAAACGAGGGAGCAGAAACAATGGCACCCTGCAGCTCTGTCGAGCACCTGCTGTTTGTCGCCTTATCTCACCCTTCATCCGGTGACAGCCCTCGTGATGTCCCTTTGAGAGGGAGGGTGCTGCGTTTTATTTCACTGGCCGGCTGACTGCCTTTTTGCTGGTGTCAGTGGTGCTACCTGCGCTGTCCGGGACAAAGGTCATTGTCCACATGCTGGGACATCTGTAGGAGAGGACCTGCTGTGTGAACAGGGACGTAAAAAACAACGTTGTGGGCGCCTTAGACTGTGCCGGCAATGGGTGACGGTTTGAACCTGGTACTTCACTGTTTGGCCATTGCCTCAAAATATTCGTTTTAAAACGTATGAGGGGGGTAGCAAAGGATCTGGTAATGGACATCCCCAGAGTGGAAGCCTCCTGTGACCGTGTTCCTGGGATTCGGGGCTCACCGTCCAGGGCGAGTCTGCCTTGGGGAGGGAGGTTTTTCATGTAAAGGCAGACCATCTTGCACGAGTGGCTTTGAACCCGAGCAGATGGTGGTGGTCCCGGGAGCGGGGAATGAGCGACAGCCCCTGGCAGGTCTGAGAGTGCTGTCCTGGAAGCACAAAGAACAGCGTGAGCAGAGAAGGCCAAGCAGACAGACGCTCCTAGAGACTGCTTGGATTAGCACTTTAATTCCCAGGCCGATGGCTTCCTTGGGGGCTAGCAGCGAGGATGGGATTCATTCAGATTCATTCAACAGGTGTTTATGGGGCACTTAGATTGAATGGCAGGCCTGGTTCTCACCCTGACTGCCAGAGAGGGGCAGTGGGCACGGCCACTGAGGCCCATCAAGAAACTGTTACCGGAGAAATTGGAGGGTTCTTGTCTTCGCGCAAGAAAGAATTCAGGCGGGCCGGCGCCGCGGCTCACTAGGCTAATCCTCCGCCTAGCGGCGCCGGCACACCGGGTTCTAGTCCCGGTCGGGGCGCCAGATTCTGTCCCGGTTGCCCCTCTTCCAGGCCAGCTCTCTGCTGTGGCCAGGGAGTGCAGTGGAGGATGGCCCAGGTCCTTGGGCCCTGCACCCCATGGGAGACCAGGAAAAGCACCTGGCTCCTGGCTCCTGCCATCGGATCAGCGTGGTGCACCGGCCGCAGCGCGCCGGCCGCTGCGGCCATTGGAGGGTGAACCAACGGCAAAGGAAGACCTTTCTCTCTGTCTCTCTCTCTCACTGTCCACTCTGCCTGTCAAAAAAAAAAAAAAAAAAAAGAATTCAGGCATGAGACAGATTAGTGGAAAGTAAAAGTTGCAAGGTTTATTAGGGAAGGGACATCCATAAGGACAGAGCCTAAGAGAGTGCCCAGTCACCCGGACTGGGGGGGGGGGGGGAGCGTGGTTACATGGTTGAGAGATTACACCTGGCCAGACCAGGTGGGCGGCTCAGCAGAGAGGCAGAGGGCTGAGCGCCCAGTCTGCTGGGGGGGGTGGGGGCTTCCCCACCTCTGCTCCTCTTGGAACAAAGGGCTTTTTGGATGTAAATAGAAAAACTTCTGAGTTTTCCCCTGAAGGTAGCAGACGGGAGGAAGCCTAGCTGGCGCCATCCTGGGTTCAGAGGAAGGGTGAGCAGGACCCCCTGGAGAATGGGGATCCGGAGCAGGGTGTTTGAAATGCAGATACTGGGCTGCACCTGGGAGATTGTGGAAGGTTTGTCAGGCAGGTTATCAGGTAGAAGGGGGCAGGGCAGGATGCGAATACCGGGCTGCCCCTGAAACATTGTCAGGACGACTTTGAGATGCAGATGCATATGCTGGACATAGATGTCTTCTCTTTAGGCCTTTGTGTCACACACACACACACAAGCTCATAACTGACTTCCTACCTAACAAAACCACACTTGAACTCAGACCCAGCATGCCAGACTCCTGGCTCCTGCATCCCAGTTGCCTCTGCTGTGGTGGTAGCAAGGCTGGGGCTTTCAGTACGGGAGGGGAAGGCAACAGATTCACCCAGGGGAGTAAAACCACCTGCCAGCTGGTGTGACGTGAGCGAACTCCAGAAAGTTCCAGCATTGTAACGTGTTCGGGGATGTGCCTGGCTACCCAAGTGCATCTGCTTCCCACCCAGCTCTGCTTTGCCTGTTGAGTTATTCCTGGGTCGTGTCCGTTAAAATTCCTTAAAAGCAGCAAACCAGTTATGGTTACAAGGAAAGTAGGAGCACCAGAGAGTGCTTCTTTCAGCCGCCTTATGTATTTTTCCTCTTCAGTTGCCTGGGGAGAATTCCTTTTTGGTTTAAGAACTTTGGCTTACTGGGCACGTCACTCATTTTAAATCCTGAAATCCTGGGAATTTGTCCCCAAGTCCTGGGAACCCTGTCCCTCTAACCGCTAAACTGCAGCAGAAAATCAACCCAGAGGGGCAGGTTGCACTGTGTGCTTTTTTTTTTTTTTTAAAGGGTGCTGAAGTTGGTACCAAATGTGCTGTTCTCTCAGCCCTGCCCGGCCTGTGCTGCGCGGGTGCAGGGCCGTGTCCAGTCGCCACCTCCGCCTTGTCCAGGGGAGAGCTGCTCTCATGTCTTGCCTTGTTTTTCAGAGGACTTTGGGAAACTGCTGCTCGCCGAGGCCCTCCTGGAGCAGTGTTTGAAGGAAAACCACGCCAAAATAAAAGACTGCAGCCCTTTGTTGGAGAAGAATGAACAGAGAATGAGTGAAGCCAAGAATTATCTGAGCAGTATCCTGACCCACGGGAGGCTGCCGGTGAGTTGTCCGCCCCTGGCTGGGGCCTGCTTGCCATCTGCTGTCCAGCTCTCCCTGGGTCACTTGGTCACCTGAGCAGCAATTCTCTCCTAGGGTTGGCCCTGCGCCATTCAGTATGGAAGCCACTAGCCAAGTGCAGTGTGCTATGAATTTAAAACATGGCCTGGATCTTGAAGTCACAATATAAAAATGAAATATATATATATTTTAGATTTATTTATTTATTTTGAAAGTCAGAGTTATAGAGAAGGAGAGACAGAGAGAAAGATATCTATCTGCTGGTTCACTCCCCAAATGGCCACAATGGCCAGAGCCAGCTGAAGCCAGGAGCTAGGAACAAAATCCACTTCTCCTACATGGGCTCAGGGACCTAAGGACATGGGCCATCCCCCACTGCCTTCCCAGGCGCATTAGCAGGGAGCTGGATCAAAAGTAGAGCAACTGGGAATTGAACCAGCACCCGTATGGTATGTGAGCGCCACAGGACCTGCTATGCCACTGAACTGGCCCCCATTATTAGCCTTTTATGTTAATTTTGGATATATTGGGTTAATTTTATGTTAATTTTGGATATGTTGGGTTAAAGGAAATGTTATTAAAGTTAATTTCAATAAAATTTTAGTAGAAAAATTTTAGAGAGATTGATCTCTCATCCACTGGTTCACTCCCCGAATGGCAGCTGGAGCTGGGAGCCAGGAATCCAACGTGGGACCCAAGTTCATGAGCCATCACCTGCTATCTCCCAGGGTACACACTTACAGCAAGCTGGACTCAGGAGTGGAACCAGGACTCGATCCCAGGCCCTCCAATATGTAGTGTGGGCCTTCCAAGCAGTATCCTAACCAAACACCCATCCCAGTGGAAACTTTAAAATCACACATACAAGCCCTGTCTATGACATAAGGTGTATTTCTCTAGGATAGCAAGTGGTTGACTTAACACGTGCCCAACTCTTTGGGCTTCCTGTGGACATGCCAGGGAAATCAGACCTCAGTGATCCTGTGATGTAGTTGGAATCAGGCAAACACGTAGAGATGGCTAGTGAGGCAGGAACACAAGAGCAGGCCCCGTCAGTATCAGTCCGTGTGCGTGTGTTGAGCACGTACTGTATGCCAAGGGTTGTGGGGAGGCAGACAGGGGATTACAGTTGCAACTTTCTCTCAAGCTTCGCTGTTCAAGACTCTTCCACCTATCTGCAGTGCGGACATCACTGGGGAACTAGGGCTCCTCTTACAGAGGAGCTCATTGAAGTCAGTTCAACAGGAGTAAGAGAGGATGGTGGGGAACTGGGTGGTGAACAGACACTGAGGCCTGAGTGGGCTGGCTCACGCGGCTCGGAGGGTGGGGCTTGTTTGTAAGCAAGGAGAACAGAAGGTGGAGAGGGGACTCAAGTTTACGCTTGCTGCTAAAAAGCAGTTGAAGGAGCTGCTTGACCCTGGGCGTGACCTTTGACCTTGCCAGCCCTCCGGGTTCCTCATCTGCCCATGAAAAAGGTTGGACCTAATTGGTGGGTTCCAAGCTTTTCTCACCAAGACTTTCTTTTCGGTAGACTCCATTATTTAAATATTTAAAATTGGTTTTAAAAATAAATGTGATTTGGGTTTATTCTAAAGACAACTGATTAATAAACAAGCAATTTGAGTGATAAATAAAGGTCTTTGCCTTCCATATACTGTTCTGTGTTTGCTCCCATCCAGAGTGGAGCCCTTGTCCGTGTGCACCCCATGTGCCTTTCTTTGTGTGTTTACAAACACAGAGCTTTTTTTTTTTTTTTTAAGATTTATTTATTTATTTATTTGAGAGGCAGAGTTACAGCCAGAGAGGGAGACACAGAGAGAAAGGCTTTCCATCTTCTGGTTCACTCCCCAAATGGCTTTAACGGCCAGAGCTGGGTCGATCCGAAGCCAGGAGCTTCTTCCGGGTCTCCCACGCGGGTGCAGGGGCCCAGGCACTTGGGCCGTCTTCCACTGCTTTCCCAGGCCATAAGCAGGGAGCTGGATCAGACGTGAAACAGCCAGGACTTAAACCAGTGCCCGTGTGGAATCCTGGCACTACAGGCAGAGGATTAACCAACCCCAAGAGCTTTCTTTTCAGAATCATAGGACACATATCTGCTGCTTTTGACTGAGAGCTTTCACATGGAGCTTTCTCCATGCCAGTAACCTCATTCTTTGTATCAGCTGAACGATATCCACATGCATTGTTATACCAACTGTTTTTTCTACCAACTGTTTTGTCTACCATTTATTAAATGCAAATTTTACCATGTTGTATTAAACAAAGACATACATAGGCACAATAACTTGGAGAAATTCTCTTCATCCAGACCCAGAGCCAAACACTTGATATTGATCAGAATAATAAAATATCAGGAAAATATAATAAAATATACAAATATCAGGAAGTAAAAATATTAAAACTAGTCTGTAAGACTCTCTATCTCAGGTCGTAAGGGTCAGGTGTTGCTGGGGTGATTTCTCTTGGCAGCAGGTGCAATCTCAGACAGAGTCCCAGCGTGCTGCACAGCTCTGGTGGGGGTGGGAGAGGTGGGAGAGCCTGGGACTGAGACACATCCTCTGGGTGCTCTGCCATCCTGTCCAGCTTGTTTATTTGGAAGGCCATGAGAACAAGACACTTGTCCTAACTCTTATTCTTTGAGTTCCAGCCATTGCACCATCCCATCAAGGCCTGCCAGTCACCTTCTGCAGTGGTATTGACTGTTAGTCCCATTCTCAGACTCCAGGGCTGGGAGGCATGGGAGGTGGCATCTAGCCAAGGACCACACCAGCAGGTGCAGGACGTGGCCCCAGGCCTGTGTTTCTCTGCATCCCATGCGCTCATGCTCACTGCCCCGTCTTGGGGCTACTTCTCCAGGTAGTGGAATGGGAATAAAATAATGACCGAGAACCTTGGGCTCATGTCAAGGAAGGTGATGGCATGCCTGCTTTTCCAGGTCTCAGCTCACAGTGAAGGGTTTCGTCATCTGTCCTTCCCTCCTGGGGAGTCTACCTGGGCGTCTCCATGAGGTCACTCTTCCCTTTGTATTGGCAGGGACAGTGAGGCAGAGAAAAGGCAGGGGACATGCTGATCCCACAACAGAGGGGGCTGTTCCCCTGACCAAGTGGCTTCCTGTCTGGCACCTTTCCACTGGGCCAGGCCTGGGGTTCTCTGGCTGTTGGAGTGACAGACCAAGAATATTTTAAAGGCAGATGCACAATTCCCACCATTGTAGAAAGCTTTCTTTTTCTTAAGATTTATTTTATTTATTTGAAAGGCAGAGTTACAGAGAGACGGATAGATAGAGATCGATCTTCCATCCACTGGTTCACTCCCCAAATGGCCACAATGGCCAGGGCTAGGCCAGGCTGGAGCCAGGAGCCAGGAACTCCATCCAGGCCTCCCATGCGGGTGGCAGGGGCCCAAGCACTAGGTCATCTTCCGCTGCTTTCCCAGGTGCATTAGCAGGGAATTGGATTGGAAGCAGAGCAGTGGGACTTGAGTAGCTGCTCCAGTGTGGGATGCCAGCACTGCAAGCTGCAGCTTCGCCTGCTGCACCACAGTGCTGGCCGCAGAGTTTAGATGACTCTTCACATTGTCAAGTGAGGACATTAAAAAAAGAAAAGAAAAAAACCCCAGCAATACCATACCGTCTTCTCTTATCACCCCATAAAAGACACCAGAGGCAAGACGAGTACAGCTTCAGGACTACGAGCAGCTTTTCAATAATAAATTCAGTGCTGTGAAGCACTTCTTGCATTGTCCTTCAACTTGGCCAAAGCTCTGTTGCAAACTGACCTTGGTCCACCAGCAGCCATCCCTAGCCGCACCCTGCCGTCGAGCCCCACGAGCTGCCCTTTCCCTCACGTACAGTGGAAGGGAATGATAATACTATTACTCATGTCCTGTGTTTACCTCTCGTCTTCGTAAAGGGAAGTGCAAAGCTGTCTTCTGGACTTTGCTCTGTGAACACGCATTGCCACGCTGTGACGGAGGCGAGGTGAACCCAGGCACTGCTGGCCTCCTTGCCTCTACCCTTTCCTCCACTTCTACTAAGGACAGTGACCCGGCAGGCTCTCTCCTGTCTGTCCCACACTGCTGTGACCATGGCTGCAACACTCCACCAGGGTCCTGGCCCAGTCCCTGACTCCCTACTTGTGTTTGGAGTAGGTGCCGGAAGTCCCAAGTGCCCAGCCTGGCCCGGAGCCTTTTGGGGGCTTCAGGAGAGAGAAGACAGGGCCCAGGCTGCAGACTGCCTGGAGTTTAACTGGGTGCACAGGACACACAGGCATGAAAAATTAGGGGCTGGGAGAAACAGGTGCAGAGAGGGCAGCTGTTGGCCTGTGCCTGGGCATCGGAGGCTGCCTGGAGGAAGGGGCGGGTTCTGAGCAGGGTCTGTGGCTCATGGCTCAGGGTGAGGCTGGGGGTTTACTCAAGCCAGGGTTCCTGGTTGGGGGCGGGGTGGAAGCCTTGGGGCAGGAGCCTGCTGACGTGGTCCTCGTCCTTGTAGCCGCAGTACATGTGCGAGGCCATGCTAATCCTGGGCAAGCTGCATTACGTGGAGGGCTCGTACCGAGACGCCATCAGCATGTATGCCCGCGCCGGCATCGACGGCATGTCCATGGAGCACAAGCCCCTGTATCAGATGCGGCTGCTGTCGGAGGCTTTCGTCATCAAAGGTAGGTGTGGGTGCCCGCCGGGGCTTCTGGCCACCACCCTTGGCGTGTTCCGCTTGGGCCCCAGGTGCCTGAGAGGCGGCGGCTGGGAGAGCATCAGATGCTGTGTCGAGGGTGGGCCTGCAGGGCCGCGTGTCCAGGCGCTGGAACCCCGCGAGTGCCCATGCCCACAACAGCCTGGTGCCCAGGTAGGGTTGTCAGAGGACTCAGGTTCTCGCCCTGGCTCTGTTGACAGCAGGATTCCAGCTGTGTGCCCTCGGGCAAATGACCTCTTCACCCTTCTTGGCCTCAGATTCATCTCTGCAGTAATACGGGGTTATAATTCCTGTCCTCCCAGGGTTCCCGTGACTCAGAGGTGTCACTTGTGTAAGCAGGCTGAGAAAGACTTACCTGTGTGCCCTCTCCTCACCAGGCTGGCTCTGGTGGCTGACACCGGCTGCACAGCAGGTGCCTGGTCTGCAGAGGAGTCTCACTCTTCTGGGGTTTGTTCGGTGGCTGCTGTGAGCAGCACAGGGAGTGTGTGCTGGGATCCAGTGGTGACTAGGTCATAACCAGTTCCTGCACTGGGACTGGGGCTCGAGGTCAGTGATGTAGGAATTTTATGGGAGGGCTGTGGATGGCCCAATGGAGGAAGCACGGGGATCTTCAGAAAGTTCATGGAAAATGGGGGTCATTTTCAAGAGTGCATGGATTTGAAAATTTTTTTGTGAAAACTTCCAATTGCATTTCCCGTGAACTTTTGGAAGTACTCCTGTGGTCTCACTGAAGTGGGCTCTGCATGGGTTCAATGTTAGTAAAAGCACAGCCCCAGACTTCTTGCCTTCTGTGGACCCCTAAGTCCTGCGGTGGGTCTGAGAGGTGGGCCCTGGTGGCAGTGAGGTCTCGGGAGCCCCTTGGCCTAGACTGGTGCCGGGAATCATCTCTAATCCAGCACAAACCAACCCCCAGAGAAAAGTCTGGAAAGGCCCCCTGTGGCCCTCGGGGGATTTGATTCCTGGCATTGTAGAGCATGTGTCTCCTTTCCTGTTCTGGGTGGGGACATTCTCTCCATGTTATACCTTAAGAAGCTGAGGCCCAGAAAGGTGTGTGGCTTGCCCGAGTTACCCAGATGCACGTGGAGCCAGGACTAGAACCTCTGCTCTCTGATGTTGGCCTTGGAATATGAGGCAACTCCCCTCCTGTGCCCCCACATTCCTCTGTCTCCTCTGGGTCCCAGTAGGTATGACAGTGACCTTGAGGAGGGCACTTCCTCCTTGACTCTGGCCAGGGGCAGGGGGTTTCCTGAGGGTTGTTTGTGCACTTCTGGGTCCTTGGGGTCCCTTTACTTACCAAGTCCAGTGAAACCTGCCACGTTAGCATGCTGGGCAGGCCCAGCACCAGCTGCGGGAGGGCAGGTGCCCAGGTGGGAGGGTACGGTCTGTGGGGGATCTTACCTTTGACTCTCTCATTCCTCTCTGCCACTCTGGCCACAGCCATCTTCGGGTTGGGGGGTGAGAGAGTAGAGATTTTCTTCCTTTTGTGTTGGGCTCTGAGTCTCTTGGAAGCCATTTCTGCCATGGGCGCCCTGAACCGAGCACCCTTCCTTGGGTGCCCTTTATGGCCTCTTCCCTGGTGACCTGGCTCAGTCCGTGTTGCTCCCTGTCTCCTGCTCTCTACTCTTTCCAGCATGCCTCCAGCTTCTTGGGGGAACACAGTCCTGGTGGTCAGAGGTCCTGCCGGGGAGGTAAGGAGCCGGTGCTGCCGGCCTAGGCTGCTTGGTCGCCAGCTATGCTAGTGCCCTGTCCCTCGGTCACTGCACGTGGCCTTCCCTTGCCTGCCTCCTCTCCGCCTGTCCTCCCTGTCCTGCTGTGGTGACTTCACCTGCTGCTTGGCATGCTTGACCCATGCACAGGGCAGCCAGGGTGTGCATGATGTGGGTCTTCCTGGGTGTGAGTGGGTGTCCCCATGCAGAGAGTAAAGGCCAGGCCTGGAGGGGATGAGGACGGCTGGTCGTTGTCCTGACTCCATTTGTGAGCACGAGTGTGGTGGCAGCAGAGGGATCACACCCCTCTTCTCACTGCATGACCTTGCATCCCCATGATCCTCTGCATTACAAACAGGGGGCTACAGCTGGTGGAACACAGAGTTTGAGTCTCAAGAATGCCTGGCTGGAGGGAGGCAGACAGGGCCCCACATGTCGCCAAGCTGGGGCCCTGAGTGTAGATGTCTCAGCATGGGGCTGCTGTTCTCGTTTGGAGCACAGGAACAAGCCCTGGGTCTCTCTACCCACTGCCCCGACAGACACAAAGCACACTCGGCTCCCCCTCTTTCCCCTTAGGAGCAGAGGGACCCACTTGGCACTGTGAACCCTGCCACATCGCTTGCAAGGAATCCACCTTCCTCTGAATGGGGAGTGATGTGCACCTGTGTGTTAGGGCCAAAGGTGCATCCTGATCCTCAGGGAGGTCTTTAGATGCCAGCCAAGAGCTTGAGCAAGGGGAATGTTGTGGCCTTGGGTTTCCACTACCCGGAATGCAGAAACAGAGCCAGTTAGAATAGCATACTGGGGCGTAGTGGGTTAAGCCACCACCTGTAGTGCCTGAATCCCATATGGGCTCCAGTTTGAGTCCTGGCCATGCCACTTCTGGTCCAGCTCCACGCTGATGGACTGGGAAAGCAGTGGAAGATGGTCCAAGGACTGGGAGACCTGGATGATGCTCCTGGCTCTTGGCTTTGGCCTGGCCCAGCACTGGCCATTGTGGCCATTTGGGAAGTGAACCAGCAGATGGAAGATCTCTCTCTGTAACTCTGCCTTTCAAATATGGAGATAAATATTTAAAAAAAAAAGAACTGCAGACTCTCAGGCCTCTCTCCACCCTGATAGCATTCTTGGGTGATGGGCGTGCACATTGGAGCAATACTGTGATGGGAGATGAATGCATGTTTGTTGATTGATGGGAGGTGGTTGTTGTGCCCATTTTGCAAATGAAGAAACTGAGGCTTGCCCCAAATTCATGCACCCATAAGAAGCATGGGTGGCATGCACCCATAAGAAGATGGATGTCTTTTGCCTGAAGCAGAGGAGCCCACCTCTGCTGTGATGGGAAGGAGAGGACAAGTACTCTGAGATAGGTTCATGCTGGCAAGGGCTTTCTTCCCTCCCGGCCAGCTTCGCGCTGGGGTGAGTAGGAGCTCCGGCCCTGGTGAAGCCCTGAATCACACTGCCCAGAACCTGCTTCCCCAGGGGCAGTGCTGTTGCTGGCTGTGGTGTTCAGAAAATGTGCTGTGGCTGGTGTTGTACAGTGAGCTAAGCCTTCACCTGTGACGCCAGCATCCCCCAAGACTGCCACTGATTCAAGTCCCGGCTGCTCCACTTCTGATCCCTCTCCCTGCTAATGCACCTGGGAAAGCAGCGGAAGATGGCCCAAGGTCTTGGGCCCTTGCACCCATGTAGGAGACCCAGGTGGAGCTCTGGGCTCCTGGCTTCAGCCTGGACCAGCCCCAGCTGTTGCAGCCATTTGGGTAGTAAACTAGCAGATGGAGGATCTCTTTCTCTGTTTACCTTTCAAATAAATATCTTTTTTAAACTGTGCTTATGCATGTATTTAAATTTTTTAACTGTTTATTTTACTTGAAAGGTGGAGAGGGAGAGAGAAACAGATCTTCTATGCACTGGTCTACTCCCAACATGTCCATAGCAGCTAGGGTTGGGCCAGGCAGACGCCAGGAACCCGGAACTCTAGCCAGGTCTCCCACACAGGTGGCAGGGACATGGCTACTTGAGCCGTCACCTGCGGCCTCCCACGTTGTGCGTTAGCAGGAAACTGGAATTGTGAGTGGATCTGGGCGTCATCACTGCTGTGCCAAACGCCCACTCTGTGGTTGTGTATTTTAACCTAACCTTGGTCATCTTGATCCAGAATGGAAGCTGCCCCTCTCCTACCCTGTTCCTCAGGCCGTGCTATGTCCTGACCCATTGTGACCTCTGCCAGGAACCTCCTCTGGCTGTTCACCACCAGCGTTCTCTCCTGCCTCCCTGCTCACTTGCGCTGTAACCCGGCACATGCATGCCCCTGCCCCCCACAGTAAGAGGTCAAGGTCTTCCTCCCACCGAGAGTCTGGCCTCTCCTGGTTGAGTCACCCCAGAACCCTGGCCCAGCTCTCGCAGGACAAAGTCACACTCGCCAGCAGTGGATTCAGCAAGCACCTGCTGTGGATGCAAGGTGAACAGTACAGGGTCCCTGCCCTGGGGCAGGGGCGGGCAGGCAGGCAGGTGAGCGGAGCCTGCTCCTGGCGTGATGTGGCTCTGGCAGGGGTGGGGTGGGGGAGCACCTCCTTGGGAGGAGGAGCTAAGCATGGGGTGACTGTGGCAGAGCCACCTAAACTGCCTGGCGCCCCACTTTCCTGTCCAGGCCCTGTTTGCACAGGTTGTAGCCTCGGTGAAGTCTGGCATTTGGAAAAGGCAGGAAGGGGAACCCTGCAGCAGGGGTCACTGTGTGGCTTGTCGCTGGAGCAGGGTGGCAGACTTCCTGGCTGTGGTGTCTTCACTTGTGGCTGCCCCAGTTCTGTCCCTAGGGGGCTCTGCCTTGTCTGGCCTTGACTCTTGACCTTTGGCCCACCTTCCCCTCTCTCCGAGGGGAGCGTTTGTGAAGAGCCCATTCTGGGCAGCTGCCCCACTGATGGGAGCGGACCCCCCCGAGATGACCCAGGAGCGGGACAGCTGAGGCCTCGTTTGCCGGCGGTGGGGTCTGTCTGGCTCCACGGCTCCTGAGAACTGCCTGCGAACAAGCTTTCGGGTCCTGGGCTCCACGCATGAGAAACCACAGCCCACACTCGTGTGGGCCTGGAGGGCTCTGTCCTGGCTGCAGCTCTCAGGGCTCTTCTGGGCTCTGCAGCCCTTGGGTTAATGGGTGCCCTGTAGGCTGGACTGGGGGGCACAGGCCCATTGTCCCGGGGGAGCCCCAGCAGGGGCTCCTGGTGAGGTCTTGGGAGTGCCTGTTTTCAGGCCTTTCCCCAGCCCCAGCCTTCTCTCCTGATGGGGTCCAGTCTCCCTGCCTCTTCCGGCACTGCCCTCAGGAAATTCCAGCTCCCGTGATGACGTCACTCCGCTGCATCTTGGGTTGTTGTGTACGGCAGGGTTCCTTGGCCAAACCTTGTCGTGTCCGAAGGACTGCAGAGCGAAGCTTGTGCGGCTTAGTTTCTAGAGGCCTTGCCCTGGGCTGCATGAAGCGCCATCATAGGCTAATACCCTAGAATGTTCTACCACATGCCTGCGAACGCCAGCCGCTTCGGTGCAGTCTCACCTCCAGATGAAAGTGGTGCTGCCCATGTCCTCTTTGTGACTCCCGTTTCCTAGCTGGACGACAGCGACATCCTCACTGCCCGCCCTGATCTCGGCCCGGCCAGTCATGTGTCGCAGGAATCGTCCGCTCTGAACCGTGCCTCTGGAGATCTGCTTCGCCAGACCTGGTGTCGTCACGACACGGATGCAACTCCAGCCAGCTGGAAAAGTTAGCACCGGAAAGCGGAGAGGACTGGATATTTGTAGGCCCACGTAGCTTGTAGAACAGCATCAGGCATAGCTGGATCCTGGGGTTCAAAGAGTATACGAGGCCTCTCTTTCTTTTTTTTTTTTTTTGACAGGCAGAGTGGACAGTGAGAGAGAGAGACAGAGAGAAAGGTCTTCCTTTGTCGTTGGTTCACCCTCCAATGGCTGCCGCGGCCGGTGCACCACACTGATCCGATGGCAGGAGCCAGGTACTTCTCCTGGTCTCCCATGGGGTGCAGGGCCCAAGTACTTGGGCCATCCTCCACTCCACTCCCTGGCCACAGCAGAGAGCTGGCCTGGAAGAGGGGCAACCGGGACAGAATCCAGCACCCTGAACGGGACTAGGACCCGGTGTGCCGGCGCCGCAAGGTGGAGATTAGCCTAGTGAGCCGCGGCGCCGGCCACGAGGCCTCTCTTTCTCAGCCACTCCAGGTTACATGGTCCTTACAGTGTAGCACTCATAGCCTCAGAGGAGGAAGTACCAGGAGAGGTTCTCATTGACCTGGCTTGATCTCATGCCCACCCCTGATATGGATACTAGGATGCTGGGTCAGTGCCAGAGGTGGGATTGCCCCGACCTGAGCCCGGGGGACTGGAAGAGAAGCGATCAGGGTGCTGAGAAATGTAGAGGGCAGGGTCACATCTGTAGTGGCAGGGTCAGGACCGGAGCTCCGCTGTCTCTGACTCCAGCTGTCGGGCCTGTCCCTGGCACCCCAGGACTGCACGTTCAGTGGAGCCACAGTGCTACAGAGCGGGAGATGAGGGCACCCTGGACAGCTTGGCATCTTCACAGGTGTGTGGGGAGGTGAGCCTGAGCTTCAGCTTCAGGCTGAGTGCAGGAGGTGCCTTCTAGGTGGAGGAAGTCGGGAGGAAAGTCCCCAGGAAGTGATGGGGAGGAGGGGGCTTTTGTGATGGTGGGGTGCAGTCACACCTTCCGAGGCTCAGCGGGGTGGTGTGAGTATGGGAAGGATTAGAAAAATGAGGGTGAGCACCAGGTAGGCCCCAGGAGAAGGAGCTGAGAACTGAGCAGGAAGACCTAGGTGCCTCTTTTTGCTGGTTTTCTAGAACCTTCTTGGCCCCAGGTCACTGCACCATAAGGTACACCGCAGTCCGTTATCCCCCAAATTGGGCTCACCTCTTGGTCAGCACATTGCCTGGGTTGGTCTTCTGTAGGATCTGGAGCAGAGAGGTCTGGG